TAGATAATTTAAATGGCTTAAGACTCTTAAAAGACTATTCATGAAAATTTGAACTGATGCTATCTTTTTCCTTCAAAAAATTTCCCTATCCCCAAAAGAGTAACTCTTAGAGAAGATAAATTAGAGTTCCATAGCATTTATAGAGAGCTACAAAAGTTTACAGAGAAAGAATTTCTTGATTTATAAAAAAAAAAATTGTCCTATGTCCCCAGAATAGAGCTTGGAAGAATGGATAGGGTTTAGTTTGAACAGAGAGCTATCATATTGTTGCTTTTGACAATATTTGTTCTTTCTGTCTTCTGTTGCAGATTTACTTAAGATCACCTATTTCTGCACCAAATTCTTTCATCAAATATCTTTATGAATTTGTTCAGGCATAATGATGACATTTTTTGGACATGGAGTAAACCTCAAACATCCATTTATACATGGCTAAAAAATTGCTTCACCCTCAGGCTTAGAAGTTTAAAAATATCAATTTCTGTTTTATCTCCAGTTCTTAGTTCAGTGCCTGAGAAATTTTCTAAATGAATATTGGTTGAATGAATGCTTTCTCCTTATCTCTCAATGCTTTTTTTCAGGTCATCTTATACCACATATATAGAGCATGTAATCCACAAATATAAATAGATATAAAATTTAACATACATGTACACATACAGTATACATGTACACATGAATATATTAGTCATTAATCAACTTAGGAAAAATATTTCATTCAAACATTTAATGAACCATTTTGAATTTACTTTTTACTATTCATTTTCTACTTGAATACTCAGTAGACTTACTTTGATGTAACTTATAATGCAGTGAAATCTGTATCATGTGATGAGATCTACTTACTGAGTTGAAAATAGCAATGACAGTGGATTCTGTTCATTGTAGTCACTATGTTAATTTTAAGTACTAGAATTGCTTAGACCCTAAAGTAAAGAAAAAATTTTCCATTATAAAACTTAGATTCCATCTGTCGAGGGATGGGAAAACACCTCTTATCAACAGGGTGCCTGAATGAAACGTAATTGTACACCTAACCCTTAACTGTACCCCACAAAACCATAATAAAAAATACTGATTAATGAAAAAATGAAAAAAAAAAAAACTTAGATTCCAAGCGAAAGGCATAAAATGTCAATTGTGTAGTGGTTGACTATTCCCTAATTTGAAAATATGAAATCCAAAATGCTTTAAAATCTGAAACTTTCTGAGTGTCATAATGATGTCACAGCGAACAGTAGCCTTTTAACCAAAAGACAGCACTGTAGGTGGAGTCTGAAAGCCTGCCGCTGTTTGTTATTGCTGTTAACAGCTTCTAGAGGGATTCTGGCGATGCTACTGAGCTCCTTGGTTCCCGAACATGTTATTTTTTCACTGTATTACTGGTTCACATTTTTCACCATTATGTACTTAGGTGAGAATAAGCATAAGAAAGTGATTGCTTATTGGTAGCATATAAATTCAGAGTCAGGAATGATGGTGACGCCAAACAACCTCAGATTTTCCACGTGAGTGGTTGAGATAGACACCTCTGCTTTCTTCTGATGGCTCAATGCATAAAAACTTTGTTTCATGCACCAAACAATTAAAAGTATTGTACAAAATTACCTTCAGGACTTCCGTATAATGTATATATAAAATATAAATGAATTTCATGTTTAGACCTGAGTCCTATTCCCAAAATATCTCATTATGCACATACAAATATTCCAAAATCTGAAAAAATCCAAACTTTGAGACATTTCTGATCCCAAGCATTTCAGATAAGGAATACTCAATCTGTATTATAGAAAAAAAATTTCCAATAATGCTGTATAAGCATATAAGTTTCTTTTGATGCTTAAACAACCTATGATTATGCTTATCAGCTATCAAAACAAAGCATTGCTTGTAATGCTCAGACATTTTCCTTCAGAATAAAGATTGTTAGATTTAATCTGAGAATAAAAGCAAATTCAAGAACCTGTGTTGCAATAATTAATGAGCGATACCTACATTTTCTTATAAATGATTGCAGCTTACACTTCTTGCCATCTTATGAAATATGCTATACCTGGATAGATCAGCCTAGCCTCCTCTAATTTACAGTTCCAGCAGTGTTATACAGTTACTTAAGCTGAGTGCAGTGCCTTGGTCAACCACATTGTTAGGAATATATTATCTTTCCCCTTTCCCTAAAAAGTAATGTGTTATTTTTCTGAAGAAAATGATGAAGAACGTGCTATTAAAAAAAAAAAAAAAAAAAAAGGAACTTAAGGGTACAGTCTTCTCCAGGGTTACAGCCCACCAAATCAGGTATGCCAGTATGAGATTTTGGCTCCAGACAAAGTAATAGGCTCATGTGTTCTCATCTACACAGTATATAGAAAAGAAAACAAATTAAAGGTTCATATTTTGCTCTGCTCTTGGAAGAAAGAAAATTCTGTATCTTTTCCCAAGGATAACGTGGACAGCTTTTCTCTGTGAATTAGTAATGAAATGATCTTGTGCCCAACAAATCAGAAAAATGGTTGTCTTTATTTGTAAACCAATGTAGTTATCAAAAGTTAGATAAAAAACAGAGATAGATTTGAAATTACTAGGTTATACTCAAATAGCAAAATATGCCTTACTTAAGATTCATTTAATGTTTAATGTTTGTAATACAGAAACTTTCATAGAGCACAGATATAGTTAAGCATACCTGAGACAAAAAGTGAAGTGTCATAGGCTAAACCACTGAATTGTATACCCAATGGGTAGATGCTATTACAATTATCTTTCTCATTAATTATGAGAAAAGCACAAACTGAGATTAGGTTTAGATATACTAATGCAAAATCTGGCTTACAAATAGGATGTGCTTTATTAAGCGGACTTTGTACTAACATAAGATCAAATTCTGAACTACTAGAAAACTCAGTGCCTCCAAAATGTACATAATTTGCAATTTTCAGTCTCACATAAATGCAATTAGAACAACCTCATCTTCACAAGCAGAAGAATAGAGTCTTACTGCATACTTGTGCTAATTTGACTGTATGTATTCACATATATACAGTACTATAAAAACAGCTTCACACTTACTTATTGGCTTGTGTTATGAAAATAAACATGCAGTTCTTTTTATGCCTTACTGCTTGTGTTGTGTTCCTGCTTTTTAATTCCTGTTCTTAGTTCCTTCTCAGGCAATTTCTCTAACTGAATGAGTTTCAAGAGAGGCTTAACCCAACATGTTTGTCTTCTTAGGCCCCGAAGCATCTACTCTTTCTTGTCAGGGTATCAAAGAACATTGTCCATGCTTTGTAATCTTCTTCAGGACTCAAACTGCACTAGAACCTACCACAGAAAACTAAGACAGGCAAGGGAACTAGAGCCTGAATAAAGTCTTTTTGGTAGCTATTTTGTCACTAGTACATACTATTTCTTATAAAGTAGGCTGAATTTTTTTCAGCCCATCAGAAGTTCATTTTAAAGGTTTTTGCTTTCTTTTCCCCTAAAGTAGTCTTCACTATTGGTAAAGGATTTTCAAGTTTCTCTTTTTCACTCATCTTTAGACTTTAGAGATTGGGGACATGTATAGTAATTCATGCTAAAAGAGACAAAGGAGAATTTAAATTTGATTTGGCTAGTCATAAAGAATTTGAAAACCAAATTAATCAGATGCTTGGTGCTAGTGAATATAACAGAAAGACTGCTTAATAAATTGATCTATTTGATAGTAGTTTGCCAACATATTAATAAGTTGTATTAGAAGCTAAACAGATAAAAACACAAGCAAAAAAGGAAGTATCAATGGCAAAATATTTTTTAGGAATAGTTTTTACTATTACTAATTGCTACATTACTAATGGGAAATGTCTACAAAATAACATATTTTACCTGTCATCATCTTGTGACAAACTCCTTTGCAAATCCTCTTTATTCCACTGTTCTTTTTCTTTCCCTTGCTCAGGTAAATCTTGTGTTTTTTCCTCTGGTTTATCTTGTGTTTTCTCCTCGTCTCCTGATTCTCTGCTTTTCTCCTTATTACACGTTTTGGTAATCTCTTTCCCTTTCTCATTCTCATTAGTTCTTTCTTCCTCATGAACTATCTCTTCATGCTTATCCCCTTCTTTCCCCCCCTCTTCTATTCCCTTTGGTCTTTTGAAAGCAACACAAATCGAAGGCATGCAAACAAACAAACAAAAAACAAAAAAGAAGGAAAGAAAGTCAAGAAAAAACACAATATATGAAATTAAACAGAAAGGTAATGAAAACTTCCAAAACGTAAGTAAAAATGGTATCTTTTAAATGTTGAAAACATTTTTCAGTGTATATCAGAGAAGTATTGTGTAAAAAACACTTAATTTTCATAGTTTTTAAGTCATCTTTTCTTTTTATAAATTACATGGAAGAAAGGCAAAAGCTGTATTCAATCCATTATAGATTTTTTTAAATTCAATAAGAGTAAAAAATTAAGTTAACTTAGGTGTTCATAACATCTACAGGACAAATGGGAAATGCAAATTACAGATTTATGGACTAATTTATACATTTTGTTTTTAATAAATTTTCTTGAGATGATAGAGACTTTTTCTACACATATATATAAATTTCAGGAAGATGAGAAAGCATCCTATGAAAAAAGTATTTTGTTTTTGTTTTTGAATCACTGATGTGTTATTTTTCTTATTCCTTGGAAGATTAAAAAATTTAAGTTTCATTTAACCTTCTCTTTAATTTTGGTAAAGACATAATAAAAGTATTGATTTTTAAACTGCAAACATGAAAAAAAACAAGTAATATTATTTCATATAATTTAGTAAGCAAAATTGTCAAAGTTCCTAACTTTTTTCTGTGCAAGACGTCTAAGATGTGGATCAAAATATATAAAAAAATAGCATGTACAGAAGTTAAGTTTATATTGCCTTAATGATATATATTAACCTTTAGGAAAAAAAGTATTTGGTGTTCATTCAATAAAAGAGACCTTCTAAAACATACTTAGAGAAGTTTACTGCTCAAATCCCCTTACTCACCTGATTTTCTTGTTTCCTCTTGGCCGTTCTGATTGGACAGACATGTAGCTTGTGCTGCTGAAACGAGAAGCACTACTAGTCCTTGAAACCGCAGATATATCACTTACATCACTGTCCGAAGATTTAGTAGAAACATTATCTGCCCCTCTATGAGGATCCCATCCTGATCGATACTGTTAACACAGATTGACAAAGACGCAGAAGTTGTCAGTATTACCACACAAAGCAGTTATTAGCTTTCTCCTATTTCAGCACTTTAATTGTCCACAGAGGATACTGTACAACCCCACTCAGTTGCATATAAAACAAAAGTGAATGGCAATTATCCTAAAAGAAAAATTCAATTTATATGAAACCTTTGTTTTTAGCAAGGTAATTAGAACATTTTCACCACACCCCAATGAAGGCCATTAACATAGTTTCAAAACAGCACTGGCCTCAGGCAAGAACATTTAGGTAAAATCTGGGAAATAAACATTTGGCTTAATATTAGAGAGCAGAATCTTTTATTTTTGAACAAGATTTTGAGAAAAACTCAGTATGACAAACCAGTATGCTCTTGTAATTTACAAAGACCAATTCTAGTAATCATAATTTTCTCTTTAATCCATTATGTTTCACTGAAAACCTAGAGGTAATACAAAACCTAATTATTCAAACACTAATTCTTTTTAGAAAATCCAAGAGAAAAGAGAAAGTTTAATTTCTGAATGGTAACTGGAATTTTGATGACTCCTAATATTTGTAGTGACTAGAAAAAGTCATTATTATTTACAATAGTTCAAACTTCCTGGAATTGAAATAATCAGACAGTTAAGTGGCACAGCCAGGGTGCAGGGCATTCCTGGGTGTTCAAATATTCAAGTAAATTGAAAATCATTAATGCTTCATGTTAATGACCAATTCTCATAAAATACATTTAATGTAAAAACTAATGGAAAAAATTAATTTTATTTTGACAACAAAAGATCATTTGCTAAGAGTCTTCATGCTGAGACGTAAAAAGGATAGACTTTGGAGTCTGGAAAACCAGGAGTAAGGAAAATTTACTGGTTGGGTAAATTTCAGCAAATTATTTAATCTTTAAAGTTTGCCTATAAAATAATGAAAATGATATCCTTCTTGCAAGGTTGTTTTGAAAATTAGAATTAAGATACACATGGCATAATGTAAGTAAAAGTAGCCAATATTATTATTGTATCACTGCTGCAGTGTTTTTACTATAAACATCACACATGACTATAATACTGAAACATTCAGATTCTTATCCAGTTCATTTTGCAACAGAGAGCTTTCTAATCATAGATACTGGCAAATTTAGCAAAGCCTTAGAAAGATGGATTATTTTATATATATCACTTGCTGTGATGTAAAGAATTATTACTGAATAAACAATCTTCCATGAATAACAATTCACTGTAAATATTAGATAGATATATATTTTGGCCAAGATAAATTGAACAGTAACAGGGTGTGGTTTAAAAATTAGATGTGACTCAAATGATCTGTTGTTGCTATTTTCCCCCCAGGACTTCCCAGTATCTAGCTATATATTTTGTAGTTAATAATTGACATTTTTCTTCAAGGGTAAAATAAAGGAATTCTTTCTAAAAGCTCCATAAAATTTTAATTAAATCCATTAATCTAGCAATATATATTCAAATTAGATGAGAATTAGCCTCTTCTTAGTCCACTTAACTTACTACTTTTGTTAGATAAACTTTCAATTATCAATAAGCATACGATTAAATTCTAAAATGGCTGACTTTACCCAATAAATATCTATTTAAATAGAACTGTGTTTGACTTTAAAAAGGAATATTGCTTATTTACGGTAGATCTGAAGAAAAGTTAGATTAAAATATTTGTTTTTAAATAGTCATTTTTAATTGGTGGAGCCAACATTACCAATGCTATCTATCTATTAATTATATATACCTACATACACATGTAATAAACTGTTTATTTATATTTGTATGTTTTCACTAACTTTACTGAAAGTAAATTTGATCTCAAGATGATTCACATATGAAGTCTTCCATTTTATTTCTTATTTTTTAGACATTTTATTTATATAAAAATAAACATTTTAGGAATTTTTTCAAAGGTGTAAAATTGTTCAATAGAACTTTGCTGCAATTGGGGAACTTTTTTATTTCTCATTCTTATAATTTATAATAAAAAATAAAATTTATAACTGGATAGAAAGGCAGTGTTGTTATTATATTTCTCATTTATTTTGCTCACGGACTCATATCATCTAAATTCAAGTGAAAACCTGTTTTAACTCTAGGATACTAATGTAATCACTAAGAGTCAATGCTCTGGGGTGGGGTTGAATCACTGGTCTGAATTCTAGCTACAGAAATTATACGTTTGTGATCTTGGGTCAGCTTCTCTATGAGTCTCAGTTTTTCACATGTTAAAATAGGAACAATAACCATACTTATCGCCTAGGCTTACTGCAAGGATTAAATAGGTAATGCATGTAAAGCACTTAGCACAATATCTGACACATAAGAAGCAATTAATAGATGACAAATGATGACAATGATGATGATGATGATGATGATGATTAGATAGTAGTTGAATATCAGTTTAGATAAATTCCAGAAATTGTCCATTATGCCCTCAGGCGTCACCTTCCCCAAATGGTTAGGTTCATTTATGTTCCATCACCTTATATTGAAATGCTGATTCCCAGCTGCAGGATGAGGGATAGCTTTATCTTAGCAGGAAATATGTATGACACTTTTTGGCTGATATGGAGCATGCTACGTGGTAATTATTTGTCTCAGTACCTTATCCTGATATTCAAAGTCACTTGGTACTTGTGCATCCTATGCTTCCCGATTGCTTTTTTCCTCCCCTTTCTCTCTCTCTCTCTCTTTCTCTCTTTCTCTCTCTCTCTCTCTCTCTCTCTTTGTCTCTCTCTCTCTGTCTCTTTTCCTTTCTATGAGGTCTTACTCTGTCACCCAAGTTGTAGTGTAGTGGCTCACTGCAGCCTCGAATTTCAGGGCTCAAGCGATCCTCTCACCTCAACATCCCAAATTGCTGGAACTAACTAAAGAGCCACACCACCAGGCCTGGCTAATTACAAACAAATTGGAGGGGGAGGGTAGGTCTCTCTATGTTGTCTAGGCTGGTCTCAAACTCCTGACCTCTACTAATCCCCCTACTTTAGCTTCTCAAAGCTCTGGGATTACAGGCTCATATCTGTAATCCCAACCTGCTTTGTCTTAATTTCTGAATCCTACTTTCTTATTTGAATTTCAAATTTCAGTAGTTAGGCTTCCGACTGCCTACTCTAACCTTTGTCTTTTTAGGTCTGTCATGACTTTTAGTATTGTTGCTGTGGTTCATAGGTACTTATAGGTTAGTTTAAGGGTTAATAATTTGTTAAAGCCGGGCTCAGTGGCTCAGCCTGTCATCCCGTGCCTTTGGGAGGCTGAGGTGAGTGGATTGCCTGAGCCCGCGGGTTCGAGACCCGCCTGGGCAGTGAGACCTCATCTCTACAATAAATCAAAAAAAAAATCAACTGGGCGTGGTAGAGCATGCCTGTAATTCTGGCTACTCGGAAGGCTGAGGCAGAAGGATCGCTGGAGCCCAGCAGGCGAGGCTGCAGTGGCCGAGAGTGGCCACTGCACTCCAGTCTGGGCGACCGAGTGAGACTCCAACTCAAAAAATAAAATAAAATAAAATAAAAAATAATAATTTGGTTAGTTTTTGAAACACATGCTAGCATGGTGTACATTGTGTATGGCTTTATCTGAGATGGTAAGATGGTTGAATTTGCTGAGCTAAAATTTTAGATATGCAAAATTAAGGAAAGATAAGATTCCACATACTATGGTTTTAATGCTTTTTATGTAATCCATCACACGTTATCTCTTGTTCTAGGGCTGTGTGTGGAAAGTGTTCCTGTTTCATTTTTACCCTTTATTAGAGTGCCAACTCCTGAAGACCAGGACAGTATTTTCTCATCTTTGCATCTCTCTTAGCACTTAATTTAAATTAAACTCTGAGGTTTAACCTTCTTACCAGTAGGATAAGGATAAACCTCACTTTAAGGATTCTTGAGAGCTATTCACAATAATATGTTCAAAATGCCCTATAGCATGCTTAACAAACAGCAGAGGCTTATTTCCAGTACCTGAAACAGAAGGTCATTACATAAAAAGACACTGAATGGAATAATTTATATAAAGAAAGAACAAAACTTCGCTAAAAGCTCTAGCTCTATTTACTCAAAGCTTGTACCAAATATATTCCTCTAGTGACTTCTAAGCAACTGAGCATGTTTACCACGGGCATATAGCTGAGGTTTCCACTGTAGACAGTTACATGATTTAAAAAAAGAGAAATTTCAACAGTGAGAAAGAACATAAAAATATTTTTATAAACAAAATTTCAGAAGAATGGTTTTTATATATTAAGAGTATAACATCTTCACATATATAAAAAAAATCCCTAGAATTCTATGTACTAAATTACCTAATTCTAGAGTATACATTGAAAATGGTTAAATGTAATTTAGCTTTTCCTAAAGTATGATAAACAAAAGTTACATACTTCAGTGAGACAGAAGTAGTTAAATCATTATTATACCAAGGTAATGACCTATGAATGTGAATAAATAAATCCATTTATTTAGGAAATGACTGATGTTGTTTTGGTACATCATACATAATGTTTTAAATAATTAGCATGTATTAGAATACAGCTGACAGATAAAAAATGAGTGATATCTTTCTCATTCTCTTTAATGGAATAAAAACAAAGAAGATTCATTGCATAGGATTACATGGTCTCAGCTTAAAATTATGCTCTGATTGGAGACCATTAAAATCTTGGAAGAGAATGAAGAAGCCTTTCCCGACAACATTTTGATGTTTCATACATTACTATTAAGCAGATCATGAACTAGAAAATTTCCAGGAAATTATTATTCTTCAGGAAGTTCTAGACTCTAAAGTGTTTCTAAGTGGCCTGGAAAAGTTAATGTTCTTCCTATATGTCTAACATTAGTAGAAAGTAACAGCAATCTGCAAAGCTCTATTGAAAAGAGGGCTATTACTACAAGTTTAGAATGATATGCTTAAGAAAAAAATGCAAATTTCTAAATGCAAGTTTCATTTTCTCTGGTATCCTCATTTAAAGTTCTTAGGTTAGG